ACTATCTGGAAGGAAATCGTCGTCTGCATTGGCTCCATGAAACAATATGATATTCAAGTGCTGAAAAATATCAATTCAAGTTTTTAAAATCATGCTCACTTAATCAGAACACTCAGTAAACTAACCCTAATGCATTCCGGCAATTGGCTTCGAACTATGCTCTCCTGTATGGATCCTGAAAAAACATCCTCAATTAATTTATACATGGTACTTCACAGAAAAATGTACTCACCAACTCCATTCATGATGAGGGTAGGTTAGGTTAGTCGGAATGAATGAAACAATAAAAAAAGTGATCGTGAATTCTGAGATTGCTTTTTTATAAACAATTCATCGATGGAGGGAAGGATTAGAATGTGTGTATTATCTTGCGAATAATTTATGTTCTGCGGTAATGAAAAATTTTCCACAAACTAAAGCTACTATCACACGATGGGTTAAAAACAAGAATATAAGTTCATTTGATAGTAACAAACTAGCATTCCTTCACGACCTGTTGGACAATTTTACACAACCTTCTAACTTACATATGCATCACGACAATCGATGACAATAATGACGATTATTGGTATGTTAATCGATGATCGAGTGTGATAAACAAACACACCTAGCAAATTATTATTGAATTCATTACAACATACTGATGAGATAATGGCATAGGAAACGTAAACAGGGTGATTTCTGGACCAGACTGGCAACGAAAAATGTTACCGAAATTTAGGAACCAGGCACCCTAGATACATTCTAAGTTATGCATGACGTCGGGGTTCTTCAGTTCACCCACCAGGAGCTCTGCAACGTCGATCGCTACACTTGGAGGAACTCGATGACCGTTTGAGCTAGATTGAGCATAGAGCGCTCTGGGTCCAGTAATCTCCTGAATATCCTACTTATGTCCACCCAACCGTAAATAGACAATAACCGCCAAGTTAATGTTATTCATGGTTGAGTTCACATGTTTACCTTGGTCTTATATTACTAAACTATACAAAGGGCCAAATGGGAGAGGTCCAATATCCTTATTCATTACTCTATTACTATTCTTAAATATCACTAAGCTTTCATATGCATCTAATTTTCCAACATCATTAACTTGCTCAACTAATTTGAGGTTATTAATATGTGTGTTATGATTGTGATTGAACATGTGTTCGGCTACACATGATTTATCTAACCTACCATATTTCAAATGTGCTAGGTGTTCTTTGAATCTTGTTTTTACGGGACGCCTGGTTCGGCCTTTATATGTTTTATCACAAACATTACAACTAATTTCGCATATTCCTGACTTTTCAAGTGTGTCCACCTTATCTTTTGGATTACCTAATAAATTGCCTAACTTTGACCCAGACTGATGAAAGCTTTCAAAACCTAAGTCTTGGAAAACCGTATCAAGTTCTTTTGTGTACTTGAGATTAAAAGGTATTGGGATGTTTCTCGGATTGTTTTTATTCGCTTGAGAAGTCGTAGAATTCCTGAGTAATAACTTAAATTTTTGTCCACGTATCAATTTATGTACTATTTTAATATAATAACCATTGACGCCAGCCACTTTATAAACAACAATCCTTTCAACATCGAATCTTTGTTTGCTCAGAGGAAATGGAACTAGTCTTTGTACTAGGAAATTTAAACTTGCCATTTTGTGTTGAAAACAGTGATTGGAGTCATTAGTTATGTATTATAGGGTCGATTGTATAAAGCTCTCTGTCAACTTAACGATGAATTAACTGTCCTAACTCGTCAGCTAAGGTATACTTTGCCTTGGATATGAACAAATTGATTATTTAATCGCCTCTCAAATGCTTTATGCAACCGACCCTAAGTGTGTTAGTAGTCAGAATTATTTCATGTTAACATCAACATAACCTCAACATAAATATGCCCTCGATCCACGTTAGTCAAGCATATTTTTGAGAAAGAAGATGAGAAAACGGGAAAACAGGTTTTCGTTTATCTGGTTTCAAAACTATCCCAGACTTGTTTGAGGACAGTTTCAACAACTTGGAACAGGAACAAACCTATAGCTCGAAGCAGCAACGCCAAAAAGTTTAAATATTTCATATCCATCTCGTCAAATAGTTTCTAAATTTAGCGTCACTAATCAGGGTGCATGACGTGCGACGCAAAAAGCAGAAAAGCTGCATTACTATTCGTTTATTCATAGTTCAATATTCAGCATCCACAGGATATATATTTATTATGATGTAACATTGATATAAACGTGAGAGGAAACAAAAGTACCAGGTACTTGTCTGATGGGTATAGTAAGGAGACACATACATATAAACATATGGATATATATATATATATATATATGATATATATATGCTGGTGATTATCCATATCTCAAAGTAATCCGGTCAAGTTAAATATCCGAGGTTGCAAAAATTCGCAGCAAGCTGAAAGTTGGTAGGATTATTCAAAACACCATCATAAATGAGATCTAAAAAGTCCTCATGGATCCGACACCTGGAAAAAATTTTACTCGGAGTAAAAGGTCACAAAAACGGGATTTTCACGATTTTCAGCAAAATGGTGAGTTTAATCATAAAATTAGCAGAGACAAAAATTGTAGATCAGATTATTGTCTATTAATCATGTTCAATTACTTTTTTTCGAAAACATCAAAGAGTTGTGATCGTCATAACATGCACACGTTTTCACGCTCTTCACTAGCCATCGCGGAAATATTTACCGACGCTTCTATTCGCAGTCGTCAAGGTTATTAGATGACGTTCCCATGACATAAAAATCTACGGGAAAGCGAATACTATTACTCTGGAGTGAAAACACGCGGTCATTCTGATATATATAGCGAAGAAACTTTCAACGATATCTTAGATGAATACGTTCAGTATGTACGACGACATTTTGGTCTCAGAGTTACTGTAGTATTTGATGGATATAATGATTTCAAGAGAAATATTAAAGTCGCAGAACAACGTCGTAGAAAGCAACATCTTAATCCTCTGATATTTTATTTAATCAATCTATGGCAGTTCGTACCACTCAACAGAAATTTCTTGCGAATACTCACAACAAAACTCGGTTCATTTCAATGTGGAAAGAAAAGTTGACTGCTGAAAATATATTAATAAAACAAGCTAATAATGATGCTCTGATGTAATGATAATTGACACATCAATAGATCAATTCAATTCAATGAATAGAACTATTGTTGTAGATGAAAATGTACACATATTCGTATTTTTCACTGCTCGAACTCCCATGGAAAAAACAATTCTTTTTATAAAACCTGGAAAAGCACAACAGCAATTGGCGATATATTCATCAAAAAGTTCATCTACTTTTGCAAAATGTCAAAATTATGTTCTATTTTTACATGCAATAACTGGCTGACACAACATCAGCATTCTTCAGGAGGGGTAAAACAACTGTTTTTAAAATATTTGAAAAACAATATTTAGTTGAATGTGCTGACATTTTCAGAAAGAGTAAATCAACTCCACAAGAAGTTATCACCAACGGAATTCGCATCCTTCTCTCTATGTATGGAGATCCTAAAAAAAACTACGTGCTTAGATAAGTTTCGATATGCATGTTTCGTTAAAAATACTCGAAATGAAAAACAAGTGCAGTTAGCTTGTCTACTTCCAACCTCAGCGGCTGCTCATCAACATCTTTTCGGGGTATATTACCAGTTCAAATGTGGCTAGGTTATCAGCTATACCCAAAAAACTGGGGTTGGGAAATTGGTCGACAATACATTAGAACCATTTCACACTTCACTCCCACCTGCGCCGGAAAAACTGCTAAACACAATTTTTTGTAACTGTAAGAACGGATGTAGTGCTAAATGTGGTTGCAAAAAAGTTGGATTATTTTGTTCTGTAGCATGTTCAAATTGCCAAGACCGGTCGTGCTCCAATGTTGAATCACCAACAATTGAGGATTCATTTGCTACAAACGAGGAGACATGCGATTAGTCATTATTGGGGCAATTTACTTGCACCCAGGATGAAGAACAAGGATATGGAGAAGAACAAGAAGAGGAAGCAGAAGTAATATTTAGATAACGATGAATCAGATGAATAAATTTCCCTTTTTTTTTTAAATTTACAACGCTTTCATCACTTTTATCATTTTCAACCCTTGCCAATATATTCGATAATTTCAAATTGAACAAGATCACAACAGATTTGTGGAATAGGCCTACCGGGGAAACCACATTAAAAAAACACTACCTCAAAGGTGGCGTGGAAACGTGTCCATATGACGATTACAACTCTTTGAACTTTTCGAATCGTTATATCTAAGAAATGATAGCTCTAAGGAAAAAAAATAATTGAACATATTTTATAGGTAATTATCTGATCTACAATGTTTGCCTCGTTTAATTTTATGATTGAACTCATCATTTTGCTGAAAATCGGGAAAAACCCGTTTTTGTGACCTTTGACCCCGAGTAAATTTTTTTCCAGGTGTCGGATCGATGAGGACTTTCCAGATTTCATTTATTATAGTGTTCTGAACAACCCTACCGATTTCCAGCTTGCTGCTAATTTTTGAAACCTCATTCGTATTTTTCGGTGAAACTTGTCCGGATTAAAGAGCAACGTTCTTGATAATGAGAGTGTGATCGGGCAGCTTCACAATAGTTAACTCACTTTCAGTTCTTGCATAATATATAACACCAAATATGATGAAATATATGGAAGAAGATGGAACGAGAATACTGATACGAATTACTAAGTGACCAGACTCCGATACATCTTTCAATTATCTCATTTTCGAAATATATCTTTGATAGCCTTTGATTTGAAACGAAAAACATTGGAAGAGTGAGCAGACCATTCTTTTTTATTAGCTTCTCCGCTCCTTGTTATTCTGCATCATCGCAGTAGAAATAGGTAATTTGTTGTTGACTATGTTGACAGAAGGTGTTCATAGATAGAAAGATTATAGTTTTTAGGAGATGAAATAGCAATTAAACATTACATTGAGAAGACTGTAATAATAAATAATTATTCTTATACCTTTCAGAAATACTTCAGCTACCCTATCCCAGTCAATATTTTCATCAGAATCCAAACTGGGCACTGTAGAATTTCCATTATCTTTCAGTTCCCTCAATTGTTCTTCAAGTTCTTTTAGAAGCTGTGAACTTGAACTATCGTTCTGTGAACAAATAGTCTTTATCCTGTTTTTGATTTCAGTTTGCTGATACATATTGTAATTGACCTTAACAGCTCCTAGAAGTCTCTGGCATTCAAAATTCGTCCATTTACAAAGTGGAAACGTTTCATAAATTGTCAATTCTCCATTTGCTCTTTTTCTTTTAGTATCTCTATTCGGAGGGCTACAATATAACTTTTCGTCTTTGAAATAGGGAGCCCCTAATTTCCACGTTCCGGATGTGACATAGTTTTTTTTCTGCATGTCGATGTACCCTCTCACGATTTCATTTTTTTCAATTATGTTTTGTTTGCACTCAATCAGAAGATCTTTAATTTTTTTATAAAACTGAATCAGTTGCATGTTTTTATTTCTGTTTAGGAGGAGAATTTTCTTCAATATTGGATCAGTACAGGAATCGATGACAAGTATTTCTTCAGGTCTGAGAGATGATATCGGGTCGTATTTGTAGAGGTTTGTTATTTCCATCGAAAGGGTTTCAAGGAACGTGAAGTCTTCGTCATCGTTGGCTGTTTCTTCAGCCTGAAAATGTGACATTACATTAATTAATTATGTCTGATGCCGCACTAACGATACTTGGTTTTTTTAATTTGACTATGCAACTGTGTATTTGAATGAATGAAACAAGGAAATCTTAAATTTCATCTTAGTGTTCGTAACACTCGATCGAACGATATATGTACAGACTTTGAATTGATTCGGCCGTTACTTGATGGAAATCCATAGCGAATGTCAAAACTTCACGACCGATGAGATTTCCACAAGCCCCCAACTTCCTTCGTTTGTTGGCCTTCTACAGGGGGTCTTCACAAAGTAATTTTTTCGATCAATGGGTTCGTGATTATTGAGGCAGGAGGCAGACTGAGATTATAGACATTAAGACACCATATAAATAGTTACTGAGACATATATTTAGGTAGTATGGTCAGGCAGAGGTTACAGGCAACAAAATCAGAGTTTGCTTATACTTTAGAATAGAATAGAAGAATAGAATAGAATTTATTTAGTATTAGGGACAGAACATTACATTGTGTTTAATACAAGTCAAATACATACAGTAGATTACAAATAATTATAAAAATCAAGAAGCATCTGAGAGGTGTACATAATTTCCTTATATTCCCTTATTGTGACAAAGGGATATAATTGCTTCATTGATATCCTCTATTTTATAAGGTTCTATTGTGACTAATATTGATTTAATAGTTTTTTTGAAACTAGTGAAGGTTTTGATTTGTTTGATATCGTTTGGGAGCATATTTTAGAACCATAAGCACTGATAATAACAACCTTTCTCAAGAAGGGATGTCTTATGTAGTGGAAATGAAAATGTTTCTTTCCGTCTCATATTGTGAGATTGATTATGTAAGGAATCATTGAATATATGTTTGTTTTTGTATACAAAATTGACACATTCCAGGATATATGCACCAGGCAATGTCGAAAGATTGAGATTTTTGAAATAGCCACGACAAGATTCTGAAGTTTTCAAGTTAGCCAGAATACGAATTGACTTTTTTTGAATCACAAATACTTCTCGACTATGTGAACCACCCCAAAAGATTATACCATAACACATGATTGAATAGAAATGTCCAAAGTAAGATGCCTTGAGAGCATCGGGATCTACAACTGTCTTAAGTGCTTTCAGAGCATAACTGGCCTTACTGATAGCGTTTTCCACTCGTCGCACTAGCTCGAACTTTTTCGGCACTGAGTGCGTTTTGCGTGGTCCACTAAGAATTTCAAGAGCGAACTTTTGTCGAGAAATGATTTCCACTGGCTTTCAAACTTGATCGATGCCCGCTCAGAGTTCGAGTTTTCAGAACTGTGCTTGTACGACGGTGCGATACACATAACCTCAAATATTCGAGTCACGAGTAGAAAAATGTTTGGAATTTGAATAATCATTAATGTCTCATTGTAGTTTATTACTATTATTACAATAATTTCCTAAATCATAGATACTTCGGATACAAGCGATGATGAAGAAATGATGATTGAGATACAGAAGTACTTCGTTACGAAACAGCGTTTACGGAAGATTCAAAATTACCTAAAAGTTGAAGAAAGCTATTCAGATGTGCAGGTATTAAACATATTTGATCGTTGATTCAGTAATGATGAAAAATACTAAGTTCGTGAACGACACTTCAATGCTACATCACTATTGTCGAATGATTCAATTGAACATCATTGACAATGAACATTTCATACTGATATGTTTCTGACTGATTTATGGCAGTGTTCACAGGGATACCACAATAGAGAGTTGAAGTAATCACTGTACGTAGACCTCCACGTAGACGTTAACGTACGAAAAATAACGTTTACGTATTGTCGTTAAATTGAGTTGAAGTCGCCACTTTGGTCGTCACTGTCATCATAACGTAATAATACATTTTGTTTTCGGTTTGTATTGGTCATTTTTGATTGTGTGTTCAGATTCGAATATTTATTCCTGTCAAAATTAGAGGACTCCTTGATGCAGAACTCGTTGGTGATCTCGAATTTGATAATTTTGACTCATCGGCATAGTTTGGTTAACGTACGTTGATATTTAAGGTATACGTGAAGGAACGTGAGATAACGTACACCCGTGAGCCCACTAACAACGCAAACGTGAAGAATTGGAAAATGCGCATGCGTAGCTGTCAATTTCTACGTTTACGTTAACGTTCATGACAACACTTCAACTCTCTAATAAGAGGTAGATGAATTCATTTCATGTGGACCAACGGAAGCAAATGTACTTTCAATAATTAAACTTTTTGATTGACAAAACAATTATCCTGACATTTCTGATGACAAGAAGGTCGCACCAACTCTCTATTACTATTCCTCTGCTCTGTGCTGGAACCGCACTTTATGGAAGAACCGAGCCAGTGCCACTTGTACTTGCTCTGTGCTAGTGCGCTCTATAAATCGGCGAGTGGAAAACGCTATGAGTCTACCACAGAGCAGTGATACATGGTCTACCCATCCCATATGTTTATCAATGGTAACGCCAAGAAATTTCGCAGAGTTGGCATATGAAATAGCACTATTATTCAAATTTATGTTTCTGGAGAAATCTGTGAGTTTCTACTGTGTCTAAAGAGGATGCAATTTGTTTTAGTGATAATAGTAGAGAGTTATCATGAAACCAGTTGGAGACTTGAGAAGTAACTTCTACAGTTTTTCGACTTAACTCTTCAAAACACTTGTCAGCAATCAGAATGTTTGTGTCATCTGCATAGTTTGTTAATTTCATAGAAGGACACTTGACAACATTACCTAGATCATTTACATATAGGATAAACAATAAGGGACCAAGCACACTGTCCTGTGGCACTCCTATATAGAAATGGTTTGTGTACCTGAAAAATGATCTTTTGGCGAGAGATTCACTTCACTTTTACGTCTAAGTCACAAAAGGTTACTCACAGAGAATTTACCTGGGTGGTTAATTACACAGGTGATATTAACGAAGTTCACTGGTAGCACTTGGTATTGAGTCACGTTCAAGACTCAACATTTCACATGCTATCAATGATTGAACTTCAATCATTCAAGAGGCCCACTAACAAAACTTTCAACTAACACAACGGAGATCTAGACATCGTATTGGAGACTGATCAAGACTGCTTCAAGAATAACTTCAGACTGACTTCTTTAATTCGTATTGTTCCTGCTTTTATACTGAATTTTGGCATTACATTTTGGGAGAATCAATTAATAGACTGAGAGCTGGCAACATGAGTTTCAATGTGACTCGGTACAGTCACGATTTTTTCTGAAATGGTTCCATTTATGATGTGGAACACTAAGGCGCGAGTCTGCCTGGTCGGTCTGGGAGACTTATGTGGGGGCGAGCGGGGAAAGTTGCAGAGTTTCGAAGGTAATCGACGTCATTAGTACAGTCATGAAATTTCGTGTACATACAGTATGTGACGTCAGAAAGATAGTTGGCAGACCGTTTTCCGGGGGCTAAAGTGCTGGCAGACCGCGTCAAAGTTGCGAAAAAAATCTAAAAATCAACGTGATAAGATAAAGTTTTGAAATTAGGTGTAAGTATTGATCATACAGGGTGTCCGGAGATAAAACCGACAAAACTTATGGGGTTATAGGGACTGTCAATATGATTGCAAAATGCCATGATTAAATGTCCAAAACCGCTTCGTTACTGACATACAGAGTGATTTGTAGATTTTGACAAAAAATTCAATCCGCCATACCAAATACAGGGATTAACCGATAAGATTCAAATTTGGTACACGAATTACACTGAAAGGCATCAACAAGTAGCCCTTTGATCGAAACGAATATCAGGACCGGAGTAATATTTTTTCCCAATGTTGAAATATTGTGAGAATAACTCACCCTGTATGATAATAACCAAAAATTTGAACTCAGATCTGAAATCTACGGTGAAAATCGAATAGAAATTTGTTGAGGAATCTTCTGGCACTATCTCGGTTATTTCGTAATCAAATATTATTTCGATTATTTTCATCCAAAAATCAATTATTGTCGGATAAAGTACCATCAAAATTGGTAATATAATAAATATCTACGAAACCATGACATGAATGTCTTTATTTTCTTCAATTAGTTCGTAAATCGTAGTAAAATTAAATACTCTCATCATCCGAAAAAACTGAAGAATAAATTCGTATCGGGACTGGAATGAGGTTTTTCTTGTTCATGTTAGCTGACCTAGTAGATCAATAATTATCAAAAATCTGATTGTAGATTCGGAATCTAAAAAAAATCGCATGTTGAACTTGTTGAAAAAGAACTAGAGTGAATATTTCGTAAATTATATTCACTCACTAATGAAATTTGAATTTTTGAAAATATTACACAACGAACAATAACTGTTTGTAATGATCATAACAAAACAAATAAATTCGTAAAAAACTTCCATTACCCAGTATTACAAAACATTTTCGCAGTGGAGCCCTCCATCAGTAGGTACATTTTTGAAAGCGTGCTATTATATTAGATGATTCACTGACTTCCGAATTATTTGAGGGTTACTTCCAACACTATCACAGGCAGCAGTAATTTTCTCTAATAAATGTTCTCTATTTATGATGTCTTCATTATAAACTTCTGATCTTAAATGACCCTATTGGAAATAATCAAGCAGAGTTAGATCAGGGGATCGCGGTGGCCAATTTACCTCCACGGCCGATCCATCTATTGGGGTAAGTGGCATCAGTCATTCTTACAGGAATATAATCATAAAAAACCTCATTCCATTCCTGATACGAATTTATTCCTCAGTTTTTTCGGGTTATGAGAGTATAACATTCTACTACAATTTACGAACTGATTGAAGAAAATAACGACATTCATGTTATGGTTTCATGAATATTCATTTCATTACCAATTTTGATGGTCCTTCATCCGACAATAATTGATTTTTGAATGAAAAAAATTGAAATAATAATTAATTACGGAATAACTGAGATAGTGCCAGAAGATTCTTGAACAAATTCCTATACAATTTTTACCGTAGATTTCGAATCTGAGTT